CAACCCCCCCCCCAAAGCATAAATGATTTCTTTTCTCTTTTCACGTTGTGACAAGCTCCGCTGCGAGGTGGCAAGCGACTTGCCCCCGGGGCGGGTCACATGGGGTTTGGGCAGACGATCAGAACAGGTCCCTCTGGTTTCGCTCCGAAGGGACCTGCACATCTGGGTTTCTTAGTGCACCGTCACGATTGCTCATCTGCAAAAAAAAAGAAGATGTCCCCTGATAGGGGACATTTCCAAGCGGTGACCAACAGCCAGGGGTGAATGTGGGTATTCCACCAGAAAGCCCAGAGCTGGAGGGGGGCTGTCCCTTGTCAATGACCCGAGGCCCTGGGGCTGGAGGCTGCCGGAGGGAGAGCGGGTGATGGAGGCTCCACCCACAGCAGGTGTTGGGGGGAGGGGGAGGGGAGCAAGTGGCGACCTCCCGGGGACAGGAGAAGCTGCTGGAAATACCAGAAAGCAGCTGGACTCTGCAAACAGGCTGGCTTCTGGAAGCTTCCAGCCTCTGAGCCTGCCTTTCAAGCCTGGGGGGGACCCTCAATGGACACTAATCCCTGGGCCTGGTAGAGGGCTCCTCTACTCAGTTCTCCTTCAGCCTTGGAGACACAGCAGTAAACAGGACAGGCAAGATCTCTGCCCCTGGGGGGAAACAGGGAGAAGCCCAAACAATCCATCAAAAAACTTGTGACTGCATGAATAACTTAAGTGGTCAGGAAAGCCCTGGTTGAGATGGGCATGGTGGCCCACGCCTGTCACCCCAGCAGCTGGGGAGGCTAAGGCAGGAGGATCGCCAGGTGGAGGCCAGCCTCAGCCACTTAGCAAGGCCCTAAGCCACTCAGCGAGACCCTGTCTCTAAATAAAATGGAAAAAGGGCTGGGGATGGGGCTCCGTGGTGAAGCACCCCTGGGTTCCATCCCTGGCACACACACACACACACAAAAATTCCTGGCCGAGACCCCCGCAGGGGGAGGGACGAGCTGGAATGCCAAGCTGGGGGGGGGGCAGAGGGTGGCAAAGCCTCAGCGGGTGCAGAGAGGCTCGCCAGCAGCAAGCTCCAGCAGGCTCCAACCTGCTCATGATGGCAGATCCTGCACACCTCTGCTTGGTGACATCTCATTAATAGCTCCAAAGCAGAGCCCTGGTGGGAGCACTGACACGGCGGTCTGGCAAACACAGGGGACCCCCGCCACCCCCAGTTGTTAAGCATTTAGCAGCACATTCCTGATTGGCATATCTAGGCGCCGCTGGAGAGGAGGCTTGGGAGCTCGTGAGCAGGGACGAGGAGGGGGAGGGAGGCGATGGAGGATCTGCAGGCGGCCAGGTTTGGTGCAGCTCTGGGAAGTCCCTGGAGGCAGCAGAGCAGAAGGGTAACGTGATTTGATTCCACTTTGCCAGACAGAATCTGCCAAGCAGACTCCGGTCCAGGGAACAAGGAAATGGTGGTGGGAGGGGAGATGGATGGATCAGAACCGGGAGTGCAGGCAAGATCTGAATCCAGGGGCTAAGGAAAAAACCACCAGGCGCAGCAGAGATTTAAGACCAGAATGAGCAGAGGGGCTGGCCTGTGGGTCTGAGCATGCGCACTGAGGGCTAGAGGCGGGGCTGGGTAGCAGGGCGTGGCAGCAGGAGGCGGGGCTAGAATAACAGGGCGTGGCCGTGGGAGGCGGGGCTAGAGTAGCAGGGCGTGGCAGTGGGAGGCGGGGCTGTAATAGTAGGGTGGGGCAGTAGGAGGCGGGGCTAGAGTAGCAGGGCGTGGCAGAGGCGGGGCTATAATAGCAATGAGTGGCAGTGGGAGGCGGGGCTGGAATAGGGCGTGGCAGCAGGAGGCGGGGCTGTAATAGCAGGGTGTGGCAGCAGGAGGCGGGGCTAAAATAGCAGGGCGTGGCAGTGGGAGGCGGGGCTAGAGTAGCACGGCATGGCAGTGGGAGGCGGGGCTAGAGTAGCAGGGCGTGGCAGTGGGAGGCGGGGCTAGAGTAGCAGGGCGTGGCAGTGGGAGGCGGGGCTAGAGTAGCAGGGCGTGGCAGCAGGAGGCGGGGCTGTAATAGTAGGGCGTGGCAGCAGGAGGCGGGGCTAGAATAGC